TAAATACGTGTTGATTTTCATAATAAAACGATCTGTTGCTTCGCCCTTGTCTTCTGTTGTTACAGAAGTAATAGCAAGACGCCTACCTACTCGACTGCAAAGGAAGTGGGTGAAGATAAGCTCCCGTATGGAGGATGAGGGTATCGAGCCAAAATTTGATGATATCCTGAAACCAGTAAAAGATAGTGTCAATCAATCTATGAGGAAGTTTGCCAGTATATTGAATCTCACCCTTAGAATAGAGCAGTCTGAGGGTAAACCGCAATCATTGATGACGAATAGGCCTCAAAGAGGTGGATATTGAGAAGGCTCCATGATGTCTAGTAATGCATATAGACCTAGTGAGTGTAACAGGTTTCGTAGTACATCCTCAACAGATGAGTTACAAGATGCAAGACAAGCACAGTTGTGTTTTACACGTTTGCAAGAGGTGCATAAAAATGTGAGCTGTGAACCAGTGAGCAAGTTCAGTGATAAGCTAAATGTGAACTCCAGGCCTGACTCCGAATTGTGTGACGATAACGGTGCGGTGAAGAAGTCTGTAGTTGCAACTGGTAAGCCATTGTTGAATAGAGTGTCACAGAATAGAGTTACTGCTTCAGAGTGCAGTTCTGACCCTACAAGTTTACAAGGTATTACTAGTCACAGTGAAGTAATGAAACCTTTACTGCTTTGCGAGGAGGAATCAAAATTGTCTACTTCTGTTATTAAAGAGTTTGAAAATGATGAAGTTGACGGTAAAGTGAATATTCGTGATAATGATCATGATACTTCACAGCTGTCTTTGGTTGATCATGATGAGATGAGGGATATGCCTACTACTGCTAAGTTAAATAAAGGTTCTGTAGAACTTGAACGTGAAGTAGAAATAAATGCAGGTGCAGTTGCAGAAGGCATGCATACTTGTGAGACCGTCAGTGTAAGTGATCAGCATGTAGCCCACCTATCATCAGATGCTAGTGTTAAACCTGAGCTGATAGTAAAAGACACCAGTGGTGGTGGTCTTGCAGGTAGACAACTTTCTGAAAGTCGAGCAACAACAGCTTCTGATCCACCGCTAACTTCATCAACTGATATCAATCAGTCGTCGTTGGTGCTGTCATCCACAATGAAACGGACGCCCATCAACTCAAGTATCTTGTGCAATGACTATGCTAGTATCAGTTCGTTTGAAAGGACGAATATCAATGGTCAGTTTAGTGAGGATAAGCCAAGTGTAAACGAGAGAGTAATTGTTAAATTGACGTGCACGAATAAAGGCATTTCTAGTTTCAAGTTACTATTTGAATGCTATTATCTTTGGTGTAAATTACTCTTTTTCTACGCTTGGTTGACCAGATACGTCGTGTGTTTCTTCGTAATCTATGTTCTACGATACAATGACATGAGCGTGTTACCGTTCAGATTTGAGGATAGAGCTGATAGAAAGGAGTCAGCAAATGAACTCTGCAACGATTTTCCAACCTAGACCGTCAACCTGAGAAGGGTTGTAGGCGTACTGCTGTAAGTCCTACAGTTCTTCAAAGGGTAGCACATGAATGTGCAGTACAATGTGTTTGGTGTGTGATTTTGTACATATGTTCATGTTGTATATACTGAATTGATATCATATGTCATCTAGCTGTTGGTAGTTCTGTTTGTGTCTGGACGACCTTCACTTTTATCATTAACCTGAGAAGGGATGTAGGCGCACTGCTGTGAGTCCTACAGTTCTTCAAGGGTAGTTCGTCAAGGCAGAATCCACCACATTTGATGTAGTGATTGTACGTATGTTTGTGTTAAATAATTGTGTGAGTTCCAATTGATGTAATTGTTGGTTAATCTTGTTTGTGTCCGGACATTCCACAACTTACAATCGTCAACCTGTGAAGGGTTGCAGGCGTACTGGTGTAAGTCCTGCGATTCTTCAAAGGAATTCCATCAAGACATGATCCGCGAATTTGTGTGTACTGTTTGTATATACGTGTGGTGTGTCATATCAATTGGTGTTTTTGGATTCATTGTGTTTACTCGTTGTTTTCGTACCTTGTTTTTATTGCATAATTTTGTTAAAATTTTCGTCGTGATTACTTCTGAAGTTGTTTTTAGTCTTCTACGTTCGTGAATGAATTGATTGATGTTCAAGAGAGCAGATGGGTCGTATACGCCGGGGAGGCTAGGTTATTGCTGAGAATGAAATGCACACGGAGATAATTGTTAGCTGCGGTCCCACACGCCAGGGAGAAAGATTGAAAACGACTGAGGCTCGCATACGTCACCGTTACTAGAATTGAGGCAGAATGAGTGACAAGCGATTTCAGTGGTAATTGGTAGTGAGTAGATAAGAGGATGAGCGTAGAGTATCATGAGTTGGTGCTATGGTCACGTTGCATTCTGTAAGAGTCATTCTAGCGAGTGGCGATTGTGTTGCAAGATGTCAAGAGGAGGTCTCTGTCTGGAGGCGCAGGTCGTCATTGATGTGTGAGATTGTGCTGTGAGTATGCATGTGGTGTGTTGGCTTTTCTGTTTGTCTTCCATTTCAGCTCAGTCCGAGTGACCCAGGTTCTCTCAATGGCATCCAAGTCAACGTGTATTGGTCGTGATGGAAAAAAGGGATGGATCGGTATTTTGCCGGGGAGTGTCAATGTAGTTGAAGATTGAACGATCAATTCGTGGTTGTTTGCTCAAAACCAACTTCCCCAATTTTCGCGGAGGCATCAATACGTTAGTCATCGTCTCATCGGTCGCTGTTCAGAAAGAAGTCAGCAGAAAACCGTCAGAATAAATATTGTGATTTATTATTGTAATATTTGTTCACATATCTTAGTGATGACAATTTTTAATATGTTGGTGTTACAATAAAGAATCCTCGAGTCAACACCTGGTGTTTTGGTTTTTTCGTCCGTTATTACTAAGCGTTTCTGAAACTTCAAGGAACAGCGTGGGCCCGAGCGTAGCAAGAGCTGGGCATTAACGGTTTACGAGACGTGGCTGACACCCCTCGTATAATGGTGATGGTTATGTCCTCTCATATCTTACCCTCACATTTAATCGGTGGTCCAAGTTCTCGTGTACGTATGCCTCTCCTGATTCTTCTCACGAGGACATCCGGCTTAAGCAAGCCATTTGTAATTTAGGCCTATCATCGTATATGGCCTGATCAAGTTTATCTCAATTGACACGAAGACCGGCAAATATGCAACGGAGTCTCCAGGTGACTCCGAATACCACATCCACTGCTGAATTTTGAGCATTGGTCTTAATTCACTTTTGGCTACGAAGCTTTGTCTTTGGTTTGAATTCTATCCAGCGACTGAGGTATTAATGTAATATTCAGTGAAACCAGAAACTTCGACAAGCGTTTGAGATGCTGTAATTCAAAATGAGCTCCTCTGTCAGGGAATAGATTTTTATGGACAGCGAACGTGGTTGTTCAGTGTTGCATAAAAGCCATCAGCACTGTTCAAAATATAATTTCAGTAAGCAGGGTAACTGTGTGGATCCTGAAGGGATCAAGAATTCATGTAAACAAGTGAGTCAATCTGGTTGAGCATGTCAGGGGACCTATGAGGTTCACAACGACATGAAGGATGCTAGCATCTAGCTGGAAAGGTGTTCCTAAAGCTGATATTGCGCCCTTCTAGTTTCCGCCTTCTTCTATGGTATGTCTGCCTCCTCGCTTCTGCACGTCACATTGCGGGTTTGGCCAAATGTATCTTGCAGAGTTTATTTTAGCGTAATCCTCCGCTGCATTCTCCATAACAGGTGGAGACTTTTGAATGTTGAGTTTCTCATAATTTTGGGAGCCAAGAGCTCAGGCCAGTCTTTAGTTGTGTTATAGTATGTGAAACTGTCGTCTGTAGGAGATGGCAGTTGTTTGAGTCTCTGACTGGTGTTATTTTCGTTGAAGATACGTTTTAACTTCCTTAGTTCTTCAGCTCTTCAGGGTCTCACTGGCGTTCTGCAGTGTGACAGAGGGATTTTTGTCGCCCTAGCTTGTCTTCTATTTATCATATGATGCTGAATGTTGCTCCTGTGCGGACCAATGAGTGTGAGGTAATTCTTTTGCTTTTGAAATTGGATGAGCGACTGTCCGGTTACCTCTTCTTGTTAGTCGCTAGCTTAGTAGTGGTCAGTCGTTTTTCTGTTGCCTGTGAGGTGTTTCGCGGTGTGTGCATCTCTGCGGTTCTGGGTTGGGCCGAAAGTGATACCAGCACAATTGTCTGTTTGACTTGTTTTGATCCGCTTCGTGACCAAGGACCTTATCTGCTAGGAGATCTGCCTTGGTTTCCTTGTGTTAGCTGTATTTATGCCATTGCCTCTGGTAGTGATCCAACGTTTGTTTCAAGTTCTGAGTTAACCAGTTCGTTACCAATAGGTGGAAGACTTATATGTCCTTTTGTGAGGATCTTTCCATTATTCGATCTGTGATGCGCGCTAAATTCTCACTGTTGGAAATAGGGTCTTGAGCATGACAGTACCATTTGCACAGACCCTATGGGGGCTTGCATCCATTCATGCTGTGTTAAAGCCTCTCCTACTTCGCTGTCTCTCACCGCTGTTGAAGGTGGGACGAGACCTGTGATAAGGATCTATCTCAAAAGTACTCATATCGAAGGGATCGTAGTATAAGCTAGTTTTCAGACGTAGAAAAAGTTGCATTTTTCATCACCTCGCGCCCAAGCACTGCGTAATTTTGCTCGAGGGGGTTGGGGTGGTTTAAATTCGCTCACCTCCTTGCTAATCTGATAATGTACCTGATAATACACGTCCGTGTATCTGCTGGTTTTAAACTTAGTATTCTACTGGTCGAAGTAGTGCTCTAATTGTAAACACGTTTCTTCAGTTTGCACTCCTTGTAAAAGTATTTTGAACGCCGGAGTGGCCTTAGAACTGCTACGGCGGGCCACTAACCGGTGACCTTGACAAACTGGTCAAATTTCTGATAAGTGGTCATACTTTTGTTGGCTTGTAAAATCCATTCTGCCGCAATTAGTTCCTCTCTATCTGATATATATTTAATGAAAAACGTATGTGTTGTGCTGTTTTTGTTAGCATGTTTTTTTATTGGAATATTAGCGGTTTTACGCTACGTAATATAATCGTTTGGTATCGTAGTAAATGGGAAACCGTCGAAAAGGAATGGTGTTGCTGACATATGCAGGAGCGCAAATTCAATTGCTTCGTACTGTTATAAGGCCTGTATAAAACAAGAACTTCATCTAGTAGTTCATACAGCCCTTAAAGGTGCTTTAATTGACTGGCCCTTGACAGCTTCTGAAAGCAGTGGTCTACATATTCAAAGGGCATGCTCTCCATTTAGAGGGGGCCGCTGAGTTCATATCTTGGCTGACTCAGGGAAGTCAATAGACCTGGATGTTATGTTACTTTACTAAAGAAGCTACTCCAGGTTGCTTTGAAGTCTAGTTGACTGTAACGAACTGGTTTTTTTTCCTTATGAGTGTGCTTGATATAACAATGATACAGTACTACTGAGTGGGTGATGTCTTGAGCAAAATATACTGCTGGTAGTCATATCAGTGATTTCACACGACTTCTCAAGTTCCTTGGTATATAGCTTTCTCTTCCCCATATTATTCATTGTAATTTTCTAAATATCTGCTATAGGCGTTGCGTCATTCCGGTAGCATGTGTTCGATGTTGATTCGGCGAATGGTAATTAACCTCCCCATATATCCATGTTAATTGTTAATACCTTCGCCCTGTTGAACCCTATTGTGTGATTACATGCAATACATTGAGAATCGCTGAGTTATCTGGGCTATATAATCAAGCGAGGTCAATCATTCTGTCTAGTTAAATCCCTGCGTTTCAGTAATCTAACAGACCCCAAGCCACCACTGTGACCAACGTAATTGAACAGTAATTACAGAGGATTTGGTGAGTTATATTATTTTTCTTGATTGAATCTCTTGGGTCCTCAAGCCAATAAAGTCAGTCGCTGAGAAGCTCGGTTGGTTTAAATGTCAGCCTGATTCCACCCTTATCAAGAGATCTACGTAGGGTTTACGATGTCAGTCCTCTGTATTGTGGTACTATCGAGGGTGTATATTCCTTAGGATTCACATTATTCTCAATATTTACTTTACTGCTTTTAGTTTTCTCCGTCTTCATACATATCGGAATAAAATCTGGTGGTTACCTACTCGCCAATGTTTTCTCTCTCTACAAATCTGACCTAATAGTTAGGCTTCTAACTAGATTACAAGGACATTTAACTAAACTTCGCTCCTTCCCGAAGTTCCCACATTTAAACTCAGTAATAAATGGAATCCTACTCACCTTTGGGTGACTTTTCCCTGCTGAAATATAAAATTAAGTGGCAACATGGTGGAATAAACAGGTAAATACAGGAGACTGACACATTCTAATTAATACACTTCAGTTCACTCAACCCAGAATCAGTAAAGTTAGGCTTAATTTGAATGTCTGCGGTTGCTAGATTGAGCCATGCTTAATGTGTGGAAGCCAATTTTACTACCCAGTCACCCAGTTTGAAGAAAGTAGAATACTTAAAAACGTTCCGAAAGCTGAGTGCTTAAGTCAAAGTTCAAATCTAAAACTCTTATAACCTGATGTCTATTCTACGTAACGTTTCTCACTAGCTCACTAGTTCGACTTGTGTAACTAGTGTCTTAGTCGCATCAGTTGTCAGAAAATTACCTGTTGATGAATTTCAACCTGTCTGTCAATAAAAACAGTAGAATTGGACCGTCTTGACAGACACTAGTGGTTGCTGCCATTTTCGGAAAATAACTGTAAGCATTTACACAGCTTCATTGCCACTGTAAACGACGTAGTACATCCAGGGGTGGGTAGACTTCGGTCTTCCTCTCGAAACGCTCTCATGTGCCCACGTGTTAATACCTTCTGCCTGGTAAGTCCTCTTCACTCCCTTCACGCGGTGGGTGCGTTCCTCGCAAAAGTGAAAGGGAGATGCGCTTACAACCGGGCTGGTAGACACGTAGGTCCTACAACGTTCGAAGAGTTAGAAAACGATTCCAAACCTATGGTGTAAATGGGCTCCAGAATCCGAAGCGATTAAATGTTGTATGAACCTATTTCGGTGATCAGCAGCCATAGGGAAGTAGTTCCTGATTCCACCTTACTGCCTTATACGTCGGACTTCATTTCAAAGATTCGGCATTGACTACATTAAACAAACTATCTACCTCGTCGTCTGTGCAGTATCCCAGCATAAACTATAAAGTTTTGTGTTTCATCTGTTGGTGCTCATAATGCACCAACTTTATGTTTTGGTAAGAAAAAAATAACAGCTGCATGAATTTGAACAATGTCTTGATTAGCACACTTTCCCCCTTGATGTTCCATTGGAGTTAGATACTTCCGTAACCTATCTCCATTGGAAGTCAAATGCTATTTTGAAGTTCAGAAATATAGCTGGTGTTGAAGTACGTCCTAGAAACTGTTGGAGGGTGTGTGGGGATTTTAATCAATGCACTCTCCTTCTTGTTTGAAATCTGGCTCGTTTGATGGAGTTTGGTTTTAAATAGTTCGACCTGACGCACAGCTGTGATACTTAGGATTTTAGACACTGCTTTTCAATCCACTGACTTGGAGTTATTACGGAAATATTTTCTACCTTTTTTATACAAGATAGTCAACGATTTACAACATTACTATGGAACCATTGCGGATTCGCATACACTAACTAATATATTGGTCTTGTGAATAGTTAGTCAAATATCTAAAAGTTATCGATGTAGAGTCGGTTGAAGATTGCTGCTCCTTCTGGAATGCCTACGTAGACTTCAGTCATGTACTAGTCCGTGCACGTATACACAGGCAAAAGCGGGATAGAAGACAGGCAGCTACGAAACCCGTGCATACTTAGCTTCTTAATGAGAGCACAGTTTGTTTAGAGAAGACGTAACTAGACGCGTATCTGAGTGGTATAATATATGTTCAGCTGCAGAAACAGTGGCAAAGGCTGTGGACGTGTGGGGATGTGAGATAGTCCAACAGGATTGATGCAAATCATTGGCTGACCCAGTTTATAAGAAGGGAGACATTTCCCTGTGATAACCTTAGACACATCAGTTTGACTAGTATCTGAAACTCTAGGTTCCATAATGGATGGTGCTCGAAAGAAACAAACTCGTATAAATCAAGCGGGTCTTATGTGCAAACAAGAGTGCATTGATCATATCTTCATCCTTCGACAAATTCTGGGACAAAGGGGTACTTAATGGTGTCTAAAACTTGGCACATGTCTTTATCTGAAGGTAACATTCGCAACTGAGACATGACCGTTAAAAATGGAAGAGATTAGCTGTATCGGCAATAAGTGTTTGCTTTCTTTTTTTCGTGTTAGGTGGTATAATATAGTGAGTAGTATTTGGGCCAGGCATAATGTTAAGTAAGAAAGGAAAGCACTCTGTGAAGTTGTGAAACTGAATCGGTAGATATGGCTAGGACACGCTTTATGTATGCTGAACTACTGCACTACTCGACAAGCAATGTTGGCTGACATAGGATTAGGTTGGAAAAGAGTTAGAGACAGGCATCAGTTCATAATGTCCTCGACAGTTAGTGTGGGTCACGTAGCAAAGTGCAGACTTCCTGACGGTTCGGATGTCGGTAAGTTCAAGGTAAATTTGGCAGCGTGATTTTAAGAGGCCAGTGATATGTTTCTTGCTTTACCCTAGTAGTGTCCATGGAGCTGAGAGAAGATGAAGAAACTGTCGAAAAATGGAGTTACCACTGAGAGAAGATGAAGTATGATGGCAGTAGGTAGATCAATAGAAAAGCTTTGATGGATTCTGTTGGGTGATTGGTATTTTCTCAATGAAATTTTAGTAGTTTATTCCGCACAATAACTTTACTATGGGTTTGGGATTGATATGTTGTATGTAGGGATATCAAAATTTCGGGACTATTGTTTTGTAATTTCTTTTCCCTAGAGTTGCAGGTTAGCTAACTGGTCCAACGGTCGTATGAGGGAAACATCTTTTTGCTGATATAGCTTTATTATTCCTATTTACGGCCTTGTTCTCTGTTTCTGTCACACTGTAATTAGATTTCTCTATGGTTCCTGCTTCCAGCTTAATGACTGTTCATTGAATCTTTATCATGTTGTAGCACACAGAAACATTCGTCGTAGTAGGTATAGCCTGTTACTTAAATAGATTTACAATTGTAGGGACCATAGATGAGTAAATTTGGTTTTTTATTTTCTTCAGGTTGTTGTTCCTCTTAATTTGCTTTTGAGAAAGCTTTATCACCGATCAAATCACGGAGCATTACTTCGAGTTATTTGTAAACGGAATGTTCATGGATTCATTGATGGTCTTGAGAATACTATTGAAATAAAAGTTTCTGAAGCTGATGTCAGTAAACGCATATCCAGTCAAGAGCTAACATATAGTGGGAAGAATAAGAGGGTTATATTCTCAGCCAACCAGGTAATTCCTTAGTGTCATTCTCCTGAATTTATAATTGCTTGTATTTACCACAACTCAGATTTCTCTAATGTCGCTCATTCATAGTATTATTGGGTTCTAATTAGCTGTGAAATACACGAAGTTCATTTTTGATATTTAAAACATCATCTGAATGTAACAACACTTCACCTCTGGAGTTGCAAACTAAATTTTAGCAGAGTAACACTGATTTCCTTCCATTAGGTGACAAAGCTTTAATGACTGCCGCTGCATCTAAATTTCAGGCCATACTATTTGAACAGTTACTACATAATGTTAAGTCAAATGTGAATTCTTGGGTTGTCACCAAAAAATTACAGTTGTTCTCAAGGTAGTTTTTGTCTGATTTTTAATTGATCATGAGGCGGTCTTTTTTCACTCCAATATTTACATAAATGGTTTAGATATGATAGAGAAGATTTGTAGCTCAGGTGGATGATTTTGATGTGGTTTTGTTCTCCGAGCTGGATGGTTAGTTTACGAAGCTTTCATCACCTTACTGGGTGACATCTTCAGTAAGGTGATGAAAGCTTCGCAAACTAACCATCCAGCTCGGAGAACAAAACCACATCAAAACATAAATGGTTATTAGATTCTATTACGTCAAACTGCCAATAGGTGTCATTTGAGATTTCTAGTAATTATTTGATTCTTCATAACAGCCGAATTTTTCAACGCGTGTTTTGCTTAGTATTTTTTGCCACCTTTTCTTGTTTATGAAATCAGGTTGGCGTTAATCGCCCAGTTGAAGATCGCTGGATGGCGTCTCATTTTGGTGAAGGCGACTTGAACTCGCTCAGTCTCTATGACCATAAAGATGCAAATCAGGAGGAATCAACTTATGGGGGCACAATATTTACTGTAGTGGATGGTCATGGTGGACATGCTTGTGCACATGCAGTTAATTTACTGCACAGCGATTACGTTACCTGTGGTCTTTTACCTCCTGAGGTATCCGAACTTGCTCTAGGGAATCTACGTCAGATTCAAGAGTCGCACACACCTCGTTCAATTTGTGAGTTGGCAGTAACATTATGGATGACATCTGGTGCAGTGGTCACTGGAGAATCTGAACGTATCGAATTTAATTTGAATGAAAACAAAGATTCTAGGTTTCCAAATATGAATTTGCGCTCTATGTATAATCAGCCTAATATCCGATGGGGCCCTTGGGGACCATGGGGTCCTCTTTCATCCTCGGTACGTGATGTACATGTTGGACATATTCGCAAATTTCTCGAAGAATTATTGTCTACAGGGGATGAAAAGGGTAAGTGTTGACCTGTACATTAAGGCATAAGCTTGTTTGTTTTGTTCTCATAGGTAGTTTTCACATTTAGTTTCTTTCTGTCTTGTGAGTATTTTTTACTGTTCTGTTTGTAGGCTTATCAATAGTTTTATCATCGGATGTTGTCAATACGACTGAAGAAATGGTAAGTGGTAAGGTTACTCTTAGTGGTAGAGATACAGTCACTCCTTATGATCTCCCGGATTCATTAAGTCTTCATTATTCTTCATGGACATTGTTTTCAATCAGTCTATTCCGAGTTCCGATCCGTATCCACCTATTTCAACCTGGGCAAGTGAGTAGTCTTATCAGCCGTAAGAATAAGCGTAATTCAGTTTGTGATCCGGATAACTGAATCCTAACAAAACTATTATTCTCCTGATTATTCTTCCTCCCATATATTTACATTTTTTTTAGTTTTATTGCCTTTCATCTCACTACCTGTGTGTGTTTTTATGTAGTATGGAAACTTGGACTACTGAACTTTTGTGCAAAGTTCTACGCTAAAAATCCAGTAAGTCGCTCAATCAGCTAAGTGAATCTTACTAAAACAAGCTTCGTTCATGCTACGTATTTTAATTTTAAACCTATCTCATATTTCATTATTTTGAATTCAGAGTTCTTCTATACCGATAATAGTGATGGTGATATGATTGATCCAGATGGTTTTATTACAGCTTCATTAAATACACTTAAAGAGACTGCCATGAAATATTCACAATCTCCACTTTCAACGGAATCATCAAAAGATTATATTTCATCGTCAGGTATGTTAACAGGAGTTAAACTTGTTGGCTTATTTAATTTAGATTTCGATCACTCTGTTGATAAACTACGAAACTATGTCGCATCCACTGCTTGGGCATTGAGGAATGGTCTTCGTCGAATGGATTTGGATACGTCTTTGGCCTCTTCTCCTAGTTTTCATGGTCCTGTGTTAGATAAGGCTTTGTTACGCATTGCGTTTGCTGGTTGTGTAGCAACTTCAGCTTATATCCCTCGTCATCGTAAAGAAATTTTTGTGGCTCAGGTGAGTAGTAAAACTAGTATATCCATCATTTCAAAAAGTAAAGCTCATTCGTCTGGAACAGATTTCTCTTACGTACTAGACTACAAGTCATTCAATATGTGTGGGCATATTATACTATCATTGTTATTAATGTATTATTTAAACACAACCTCGGTACATTATTAGCTCCAGGTTTCATCGGCGTAAAGCGAGACTGCATCCACCGACATTTGACGGCCAGGTTGACATCGCGATGGCACCAGAGGTGGTCCAAATTGGTATATGTCACCCTAGCTTTCACTAAACGGTTAGAAACCTCATCCGTCATACGTCCACCAATACTCACACAACAACCTAGGTACACGAAGTTGTCTACAACTTCAAGCGGTTCACCTGCCAAAGTGAGTGCACGTACGGGCTCCTGCCAATCTTGCGACACTACTTGGCACTTAGACTGCACAAAACACATACCATACTTACAGACACTGATCGCCAACTGACTAAGTGCGACTTGGTCAGCCTGTATGTAAGACGATATCGTATGCATACTCGAAGTCATATAGTCTTTTTCCACCACCATGCACATCCTTCGGAGCCGTTTCTAGAATGTCTTCAACTTCCTGAATGAAACCCAGCATCCCCTTTGCGAATTAGTTCCTCATTCCTCTCGCACAGTCTGCCAATCAAGACAGCAGACAATATCCTAGACCCAACCGGTAGCAAAATAGTTCCCCTATGGTCGTCATAATTCCTACGTAGACTCTTTTTAAAGATGACACGATAGTAGTTTCAGTCCACATTGATGTGAGGTTCTCACTTCCCCACAAATTCTTGAACAATTCAGTCAGCCTCCTGACTATAGTCATCACACCATCATCGCAGTTGTTTCTTGCTGTTCCAGGTGTCTTTCAAATTGGCTGTTAATTCGCATAATATCCGCCTAATACGCCTTCTCACTGGGACCATAACTTTTGCTGAAAGTGACACTAGTGAACTGGAACAGCATCTAACTTGTCCCAAATACAGACACCGACTCCATGTAACAGGCCTTCTGACCAGAATCCGTACTTCTTATATGAGTACTGTTTGATCCGAACAATGGATGTTGTTATACTCGCTATCCATCAGAATGAAATGATAGGTGTCAAGAAGTTTCAGAGAGTAAGTGACCTCTTGAACTGCCAGTGCCTTTTCATAGCGTTCTATGTGTGTTCGTCCATATTATTTGGGTGTCGGTAGCTAACCTTGACTATCTCCAGCTCGATACGGTACACTGCAGATGTAGAAGGTGCCGTCAGTTTGCTCATATCAACCTGTTGAGAACGATGTCTTCGGCCACCATTGAATCACAAGAGGAAACTGACACATGTCAGAGCATGATGACAATCCAGAAGGAGTGGTAGTCTTTTACACAACCAAGTCACCGGTAGATAATTTGGTAGTGATGTGGTCCATTCCAGTCTAGACTTGAGTGTTAGAGGCAGGAAGCCGGGCGCGATGGATTTGTTGGGAGTTGGTGCTGAGTAGGAATTGGTTGTCTTCTGCGCCAAGGCATAGAAGACGGTCCCTATAATCTGACCTGCAACCATGTAGTCCCAGTCGAACACATAGATTCTCTTCTGGTGAGCATCTCGGTCCTCAACTTGCACTATTGTGTCTTTTGGACGCACCTGCTTCAGAAAGTCACTCATTTGATAATAAAACAAACCCTTAATTTCATCCCGGTCGTTGCATACGTAAAGTTGATAGTGACTTAATTTTTCGAGCTGATGGCTTCTTACTCTAGTATAAAGTTGTAGCCTCACATCTTGTGAACCGTTCATGGAGGTCCAGTTTCGGCTGTAGCGCTTTGTGCGACACGGATACTAACTAAGCCGGACGCCGACACCATTGTTGGTACACATAATTTAAACTTGTGTACGGATCTTTTTGACTTAGTTGTGTTCTTTGAGATGGTTGATTAAATTGTGAACATTTCATCGTCCTTCTACACAACATCTGCGCAGGTTTCAGTATGAAACGAACTTGATATAAGTATAAAACTTGGGTACTGTGGTAGAGCATAACTTCATTATGGATAAGATTTTATTTTGATAAATCACACAGTGTTGTACAGGTATATTAACTGATGACGTTTTGAGAACAAACTATTACTCATAATCATAATATTATGAAACGCGCTTATTTGAATTCTCCATGAATGATATAAATGTATCTCCTGGCAACCATTGTCGTGACTGCTTGTTAATTTACATTTCTATTGATTGTTTTTATTGACTTGGAATTCGAACTTTGTTGTCATGTGATTTACTTTTCATTAGCTGGTAGATTTGGCCTGTAGTAATGTGTTTGTTAATTGCTAATTCGCTTGACTACCAGTCATTTAGAAATATGATGGCATTTTTGATGTTTCATCTATTTAAAATTTCTTCATTACCCCAATCAAATAGGTGTCCATACTTATCTATATGTATCGATATGAAAAAACACATATCGTGTCTTTTCACAGCTGATTTGTGTCCATGGATTCGGACACGAAGAAGACACGCACATTGGTCAATTTAATGTTTATTGCAGTTCTTACAATTTATTTTGTAAATTTGTATTAATTTTTTTCTGGTGGATTTTTTACTTTCACACTGTCGAACTAAGTGATTGTGTCGGTTGACTTGTGCGGTATATCTGTTTCAAACTGTCCTAATATTCGATCTGTTATTTCAGAAATGTTTTTTATATGTGGTAGGATGAATTTTTGTGTGGTTCTTTGATGATGGTTTCTTGTTGGTGTTATGACTCGAGCTTAAACACTCACGAAACTGTGCGAGTATTCATTCTTTTTGAAGACGGTTATAAGGTATTTTTCTTCCATCCTCCTCGACAGTGGAGTGCTACAACGTCTTTGAACTCTTTTAAACAATGTCTGCACACAGTTTCTTTCGTGAGTGATTCGGTTATTGCTATCATAGTTGAATATTTGGTATATGTGCGTTGATTTTATGTATCCTTGCATTTCTAAATTTTCTGTTAGTTCTCTTGTTGTCTACTTCTTCTTTCTTGTGAATTTAATGTCTCCACATATGTTGTTTATTAATTTGTGGGTATAATCCAAATAATTTCTTTTAATCACTACACATATATAAACAACATTACGTACGCATGTGTTTAGTTTAAGTATAGGTATCTCTATTAATTCTAATCTTTACATAACGGCTTCAGCTATTAGCCCTGATATGGGCGATCCCATTGGTACTTCTTTTATCTGTTCGTATATTTTAATATTGAATTAGAAGTATGTTGTAAGACATAATTCTATGAGTTCTATCCAAATTGAACATTCCCTTTTTTTCATCGCTGCAGAGTAGTTATCGCGTAGTTTTTTTTGTGGAGTGTGGCGACTTGAACTGCCCCACATATGCTCAAAGTTCTATGTCGAAAACAGACATACAGACAGTTTTGGACTATTTGAAGTATATAATGCTGTGACGTCTAAGAACTCCATTATTTCATTGTCATATATTTGGGTGTTTTTGATTTTGTCTAAAAATTGGATTGACGAACTTATGGAATGGCCGCATGATTATGTTAGGTATTTCAATTTTCTGATAAGTTCTGTGATCTTTCCGGCAGTGAAGCGATTGGTCATAAGAGGATGTTTGGTTTGTGGCGTACTTATCTTTTGAACGCAGCATACATCGATAGCGAGATTGTGGATATCTGTTTTGACTTGCCTGTTAGAGCCGCTTTTGATCGATCTGCCAACACTATAGGTGGCCAGCTTGAACACATTAAGTAGTCCTGCTGATTTCCTGAGGCTGGTTGAAGTGTGTAAGGCAAGATTCGAACTTGAGCTCACTAGATAAACATTAGGTGTTACAGCTAATGAAAAAGAAAGACTAAAGAGTGCATTACGCACAAGAAATTATGCTTTATTTAATTCTCGACTTATTGGTGTTATCTTTAAATTCAAGGTGGATCGACACCATAATCACAACTTAGTCCCATCAAAGCCGTTAGAAGAACGTCATCGACTTCAAAGTTGCATTGTGATGGCGAGAATGAGCTACTCCTCCTCCTCCTTCTCTAACTTCACTACCTGCGTGGACAATGAAGGAAGTTGGTCATATGTCGTTGGTATGAATACAAGGACTTTAGTAAGGAGACAAACTTAGAAGGCAGTCTTATTAAGGGAAGTGAACTACCATAGAACCATAGAAGTTATGTGTGTTTCTCAAGTGTGATATGGTGTATTCAGTGGTACAGATTAATATCTTGACCTCACCTTTATTCATAATGTCAGCATTGTAAATTTGTGCATCTTAATCCTGTGATACAGGTAGGTGACTGTGGAGCTGTGATTGGAAGTTATATGCCTCCTAAAGAAGTTTCTATTAACACCTCGTCTGCTAAGGATATTTTCACATTGACCCGTGGAGAATTTGTAAGAGAGCATTGGGACGCTGAACTGTTAGTTTCTCCACATACAGCCGAAAATGAAGCAGATGTTAAACGACTGAAATCTAGTCATCCAGTTCATGAAGCTGAATTTGTAATTCGAGACGGCCGACTGTTAGGTAAGCATATTTCGTACTTTCCTTTACGGTATATGTTTTCATGGTGATATTAGTGGTTTCTACTGATAATGTCCTTGATTACCGTATACCTGGTAACACTGGAGACATGAGATACAATTCAAAGTTGACCAAGTAACGAGTAAGTGTGTTTCCTATATATGTCGTTTATTCAGTTATGTCTCAGTGAAAAAGGGTTATCTCTGGTACACAATGTGAGAAGTTCGTTATTTAGAGATATATTATAGTGTCACTATGTAACGTCTAAATCATTCAACAAAAAGTTTAAGATTTAGGTATACGAAATCGCGATGCAAATAAAAAATACACTTTTGATACAACAAAACACAATAATTGAGTAATATATGGCCATAAAATCACATAGATCTCTGTGTATTTAGTATTTCCATTTGTCAAATTCGACCTAACAATGAATGAATGCCCTTCGTTTTAGTTTATCAGATTTTTAGGGGGAAACAGCAGGGGGCCTTGGACCTGGGAGTTTCGTGCTTGTCGGCACTCGTCAGCAAGGTGTACCTGCAACTTTGAATGAGCTCATGTTTCTTCTGAGATTCTAACCCGTGTCATCCAGTGCTGCAGTCGGAGTCGTTACCAATGAGCTGACGAGTAGCAACAAACACAAAGTCTATGTCCAAGGCTTCCTACCGATTACCTCTAACTATCTAATATCAATAATTCACAGTGCGCCGTAATCATGAGCCGCTTTAGTATGACGGCCGAATTGTAAATTTGGCTGATTGAATTCAGTATGCACCAAATGAAGGACTAGACACATAACACTAGTTACTAACTAGTGTCCATCCTCCCGACCGAACGCTGCTACCTTGACGTGGTGGTCGGGCTTGAACACCGCAATGACCCAATCAAGCTATACTGGCTGAGACTTATGTCTCTTGAGGTTCTACCATGCCAGAAAGGTTGTTTGGATAGCGGTTAAACAAAAAGCAGCTACCCCATCCAATACCATGATTCAAACAAATTCACAAAATTTCATGCCGGATTAGTCGGGGCCCGCGCTTCCTGCTGCCGTGTCACGTAGAAGCGATAAATATGCTGCTGAGACACACCAAACAATAAAGAACAAACAAAAACAGGCCGCGTGTGACCGGCCTCAAGCAGTTGTCCCCTGGGCTCTGCGGTCACGCAACCAACTTCCACGGTGTGGGCAGCCGGGAAGTAACAATCGCCCTCACAATCCGAAATGCAGACGAAACCTCTCTAATACTCATTAATCTTTGTCTTCATCTTCATCTCTCTCATCTTGTATTCCTCCCACTGATGCAACTCCTCTACTTGATGGCTCTTCACTTCCTCTTCACTCTGTGTCCACTAAAAACGACGGAAGCCAAAAAACCACCACCGATAGTCTCCTAAAGCCACGCCACCAATTTCATATAGGAGCATTTAATGTTAGGACACTTTGCCAAATAGGACAACAAGCATCACTAGCCAAGACCCTGGCATCCCGAGCCATTGATGTATGCTGTGTTTCAGAAACACGCATACAAGACCCAAGTGTGGTTATTCACCTAACCCCACCTGGCCAACAGGTTGAATCTGCAAAATTCACCTTGAGGGTGTCAGGAGATGCCACAGCTAGTTCACGAGGATTAGCTGGTGTAGGGATAGCTTTGAGTACTAGGGCAGAAAAGACATTGCTTGACTGGATCCCGGTAGATAGCCGAATGTGTGCTGTCCGTCTGAACGGATCAGTAAAAAGGAGGAAGGACTGCACTACTCGCCGATGCCTTTTCGTAATCTCCGCCTACGCCCCCACTGACTGCAGTTCAGACGAAACGAAGGATGAGTTCTACCAAAAGCTGTCTAGTTTGGTGCGAAAGGCTAAACGCTCAGACATAGTCGTTCTAGCTGGTGACTTTAACGCTCAAGTAGGGAAATTGTGTCAATCTGAGAAGGATGTCGGTGGCACCTATGGAGTTCCGTGCCAGCGAACCGACAACGGTGACCGTCTCCTACAGTTCTGTTGAGGTAATCATTTGTTTCTTGTAAGCACTAACTTCAAACACAAGGAGAGACACTGTTTGACCTGGCGACCCCCATCATCAAACCAACGCTGGACACAAATAGACCACATAGCAATAAGCTATCGTTGGCGTGGGTCGGTAGGAGATTGTCGCTCCTTCTGGAACACGTGTGTAGATACCGACCACGCACTGGTCCGCGCTCGGGTGTCCTTACGACTGAACGGACGTAGGAAACAGCTGGCGGTAAAACCATCACGTCCCCAGCTCGATCAGGAAACTAAATCCGTATTTGAGGAAGAACTAGCTAAACACATATCTGTGTTCGACAGCTGTGCTCACCCTGAAGAAGCTTGGAAGAATATCCAGGCAGCCATAGATACAGCTGTAAAAGCTGTGAATAAGGTAAACCCAAAGGTGAGTAAAAACCACTGGATCTCCACCGCCTCATCCGAACTGATAGATGCTAGAAGACTTATTCCGGCGAGCTCCGAATTCAATGAGGAGCGAAAGCTGCACAAAAGGAAACTTACGAAAAAGTGGGAGAAGGCAAATCATAAGTGAGACTATTTCTGAGAAAAATGGCTCCTTAATTAGCTCTCAGAATAGACGCCTTGAACGCAGGAAAGAACACTTTGAGGAACAATTTAACTTGCCTACAGCCACACTGAACCTTCCCGCCATCCAGCACACACCCGAATGGGATATAGACACTGATCCGCCGTCTGTAAGTGAGGTCACAAAAGCTATCTGTAATTTGAAACGAGACAAAGCGGCAGGACCCGACGGAATTATTCCGGAGGTATTTAAGTACGGTGGAGACAGTTTACTGTTTGCATTAACTGAGGTTCTAGGCAGCGTCTGGGAATCAGAGGAAGTCCCATCGGGTTGGTGTAAGTCACTGATCATCCCGATATACAAGAAGGGAGACAAGTCTTCCTGTGATAATCACAGAGGGATTAGCTTGACTAATATAGTATCTAAAGTCTTAGGCTCAATAATCATGCGCAGACTGAGTGGTGCCCGGGAGGCACAAACACGAGAGAACCAGGCAGGCTTTATACTAGGAAGAGGGTGTATTGATCATATCTTCACCCTTCGACAGATTCTAGAACATAGGAATTCCTACCGGCGTCCAACAATCATTATATTTCTTGACCTAAACGTGGCATTCGACTCTGCCGACCGAGAGGTTCTCTGGCAATGCTTGGCTGTAAAGGGAATTCCGAGAAAATACATTGCACTGATTAAGGCACTCTACTCGTACTCATACAGCCAGGTGAAGGCTTACGGCGAGCTGTCATCTGAACTGGTGACAACTAGTGGTGTCCGACAGGGATGCCCACTGTCCTCATTTCTATTCAATCTCATCATAGATGTACTAATGGACTTAACCCTAAGTGACTTCAGCGACTCAGGGATTGACTTGCTACCAGGGAATAATCTCGTTGACTTGGAATATGCAGACGATATAGTCCTTCTAGGCGAAGACGCTGACAAAATGCAGAGTCTTCTAAACACCTTGAGTCGCAATCTACGAATGTTTGGCATGCGATTCGCTCCCACCAAATGCAAGATGATGTTACAGGACTGGACTACATCGACGCCTAGTTTAAAAATACGAAGTGAAGTGGTAGAGCACGTTGACCGCTTCACTTATTTGGGAAGTACCATCAGCCAGTGCCAACGGGTTGATCTCTGACGAAATCTCAGCACGAATACAGGGGGCTCGTTTCGCATTTGCCAGTTTACGCCGTCTCTGGCGTAGACGTGATATCCGACTATCGACTAAAGGGCGGGTGTACTGCTCATCAGTCCGCTCCGTCCTCCTTAATGGTTGTGAGACCTGGCCACTGAGAGTGGAAGACATGAAAAGATTATCTGTCTATCATCAACGGGTGCCTGCGTTCTGTTTCCCGTGTGAAATGATATAATAAGGTGAAAAATATTGAGGTGAGGCGTCGAGTTCTAGGTAAGCAGGGGAAATCAGTCGACGAGGTTGTGAAGTTACATCGACTGAGATGGTTAGGACATGTGTTGCGTATCCCTAGCCATTGTTTTCCCCAACCGATGGGCAATGTTAGCTGACATAGGGTCAGGCTTGAAAGGAGCTAGCGGAGGTCAAACAAAAACATGGCGGCACCAGTCAATGAAATCTACAACAGTTAGTCTAAGCCACGTAGGAAGGTGTAGACTTCCTGGTTGGAAACAATTGGTGACATGGCTCAACATCGTTCTCAATGGTGCAGATGCATCCACTCCTTGTGACTTACGATTTCCAATGAAACTGTTTTGCTCTTCGTTACTACTATTCGTTTGTCTCACACCTTTGTTTCCTGTCTCTATTATGCATTTCTTCTACTTTTTTCTCTTGCTCTGTGTGCTACATGGAGTGTGGTGACATCAACCGCCGCACATCGGTGCAAAGTTCTATGTCGAAAACAGACAGACAGACAGTGTCCAACCTAAAACTTGTCTTTAGTGTTACAAATTGTTAATTGTTATAAGTAATTGTTAATAATCTTGTTAGCTTCGGTATTTCATGACTGGGCTTTTATTGAAGTTTTATTCCCTACTCTCTATGCTCTTATTACCATTAGAGGTGGAATAAGGTTCTTTTTATCACAGACTTTACTGGCTTTTAATAATCATAGAATCCTTGTACATCAGTAAATGTCCAAGTGAATGCGCCTAAGGCTTATTAATAGTCTGTTACCAGTTTTTTTGCAAAATACTGGCTTCTGTTGTGCTCCACAGACTTCTTGAAGCGTGTAAGAAATTGGTTTTCGAAATTTCCTGGAAGTCGCCGCGTTAATCATTTTACTTTAAAAATTAAAGACAGTAGTACAGTTAAACAACAATTCAACTCAAACATGAGGCTCTGAATCATTTGCTACAATATCAATTTTACAACCAAGTCATGTGCCTTAATTGATGAGATACAATATACGCTATGACAATTTTTTTTGCTTTTTACTCTGATTTAGTCTTCCTGTTTTCATATCATCTTACCTCTTACTGTAATTTTTTCGTACCAAATAAGTGAACAGTTTAATCTAGTTAGCTTACGTATAGACTATTTCCTGTAGATTTTCTTCTGTTTGGGAATATCGGATATGAAATAAAAAGCTGTTCTCATGTATTTTGGTCGGCTATAATGACCTGGGTGTTTTTCTTCTTGGAAGAAATGAGTCTGCAGCAGAAATGTATCCGTCATTTGTGCAACGCACTTGATTGCTTTGTCGAAATTCATAAAGGCAACTAATTGCCTTAAGTTTCTGTTACCCTTCGAGGAGTTGGTCTTCAAACACAAATGTTAGACCAAGAGGTCACTGTTTGCCTGGATAATCAACTTTTTAGCTTTTGATGATGATAATTAAAGTGGCAGTATGTGCCAAGATTAGTTACAAGCACATGCAGTATGTTGTGTTACTTTCAGTCCATATAGTTGAAACCAACTTGATTACACTAAAAAATACCTTCGGGGAAGAAATTAGGTGTAAAGGCATTGATTTTATAATGAAGAACAGAATAATGTGAATTGGTTTTCACATGTACTGAATAACTTGGATAGAAAGGATTACTCAAGAATCCGTCGCATTATATTAGTTATGAGTGGGGATAAACGATTTCTAATAACCACATGTTTGATATTCAGTGTATCCTAAAGATGCGAAAATATACAGTGATAATGGGAAGTGAAGTATATCGAAAAACACTGCTAAGAATGATATCTTCGGAAAAATACTATCGCGTGTTACTCCACTTCCATTATAAACAGCAGTAGTTGCAAAGTATTGTTCCTCCATACTACAATAAAGAAATCATACAAAAGATGTTAACTTAACCGTTTGTGTTTGTCTTGTGAGTTGGCAGTGGACTGCACCTGTTATGTAAGGGTTATTGATACTAATTGGTTGTCCAGACATCCATTAGTAAAGCAAAGCCGGGTTCGAAACCACAACTCAGTGTGTGGGAGTCATACGGCGTGGACCAGTATGCTACAACTCCAAACACAAAAAATGAATTATTAAAAAGACGGTTGCAGCGAAGAAAATTTTCTTTTCGACAAAGTCATCAACTAGGTTGTTCCAGTATAATTTCTGGTCAAGGGTAAGAGGAACTTTCCCACAGATTCGTTATAAATACACGAATGTACAGCCTAGTTGATGGCTTCGTCGAAAAGAAAATTTTTTTCTCTGCAACCGTCTTTTTAATAATTTCTAGGAGAAACGCGTTGGTTTTTAAGAAAATTATACCTAAATCTAATGAGTTATTTAATATAGGTGTTTTGTCTTGTGTTGGTTGCCTAATGGAATGTCAAACTTATTAATTGTAGAGTGATGCATACAGATGTGGATTTAAGCATGAAATGATTTATTTAACTCCTAGTGTAAGTAATAAAAAATGCGTGGTTCAGTTTGATCTCAGTTTTCGTGCGCGGTTTGGTTAAATGACATTTCTCTTTTCATCCCAAAATCTAAGAGATATGTTCATCTTAAAACTGGTTACCAGATTTGAATTCAATATTAAATATACGTTTTGACCCAAAGATTTTTACTTTGGTGAAGCGGTGGATCTGGTATGTCCAAACTGTCTAGCAAACCGTGTCGGCTTAGAAAATTATTTCTCCAATTTTACCATATCTAGAGTCAGAGCAGTAGTTTGTATGACTTTTCAAGTGCAATTAAAGCTACAATTCTGAAGTAAAAAGTTCATTATTCGATATAGTCCTTATTGACTTACCTGTAAACTGTTCGACTACCATTTACGCACTGTAAAAGTTAAGAATCGTTGGGCACGTTTACTTCTTACACTAGTTTCTGCCTACACATCCACTAAATGTAACTCAGATGATTCAAAAAGTGTTTACCATTGAAACTATCTAGTTCTTTTTTATTTTTATTTCAAAGTTATGTATTTGTGTTCATATTATCCTTGATATTGATAATTCTCATGGGAGATAATGTGAACAGTTAATGGGAAAAAGCATAGAAGAATACCACCGTCTTCCACTATTCTTAGTGCTAACCTTACATTAGGAAGTTCATGAAAATTCTAGCTAAATAATTTCCTTAAACTCATGGTGAATTTTGTAGTTATATTTTACTTAGGTGGATTAAGAGACTGACTGCATGTATATCTTATATACTTATCTCCAAGATGCAAAATATATTCAAAGCACGAAATAGTAGAGTTTTGTATTGGCAGGCCTTTTGTCCTATTTGCAGTGTTCAGATGTTTGGTTTTAAAAGATCAGTAATGATGTTTCTTTATTTTAATTCATCATCGCTGGTAACAGAGTTAAGAGAAGACAAAAAATCGTTAGAGAAATAGTTACTAGTGAAAGAAATTAAAGCTTATAGAAGTCAAGGAGATGAATAGGTTATGTAATAAGGAGAAGACTGCACAATAATAATTCAACTTAAAACAGCTTTCGTGATAGAAAATACAAAAAAAATATCTCCATAGAGTATTTCTATTCTATTTTTCATTTTAGGTGAATTAATGCCCTTGCGCGCTTTTGGTGATATTCGTTTTAAGTGGTCAACGGACGACTTGAAGAATATAGCACGCCTCTTAGATTTACCTCCAAATTATCCTATTTCACCTGGATTTTATGCTAGCCCACCATATTTGATAGCTACACCTCAAGTTGTCTGGAAACCTCTGACTTCTTATTGTGACCACTTCTTGATCTTGGGGACCGATGGTTTATGGGACGCAGTTTCACCTGAGGACGCTGTACATGTAGTTGCCCAACACTGGTATGATTATAAGGGAGTAAGTTTTACTTTTAGGGGATATTTTTAACTTTAATGTGACATAATATTTATAGATCCTAAGAAGTTACGGTTTCCTCCTGGCTAATTTCGCTTTGTCCTAGAAATAAAAACTACTTAGGAAGAAATAAAGGCAACTGCTTCAGCGGCACATCTCCATCCCACCTAGTTCTTTCCCACCATTTTCAGCTGGCTCGACAACCGCTCTTCAAATGGTCTCCTCCATTTCACTCAAACTATAAACAGTCCCAATTTTAACTGCATCCTACGCCCTCCCCGAAATGCCTATTCATCATATGTACATTCCATTTCCCTCTGCATGTTCGCGGGACACTTGTTACCTGACCACTTTTCTGGCTTTCGGAGTTCCTCATCGCTTCCCCTTTCTGGCCGGCTGCCCATCTGATCTTTAGCATCGAGACAATGAATTGGGTTTCTGTTGATGTAAGTCTGCAGTAGTCTGTTGGAGGTGCGTCCGATGACTTGTGTACCCAAGTCTCCGGACCAGGTAGAAGCATTAATTTGGCATAAGTGTCAACATTGATGGAACCCTGTTGAAATAATGGAGAGAATTTGTAGCTCAGGTGGATGATATTGAATTAGTTGTGTTCTCCGAGCTGGTTGATTTAATTGTGAAGCTTTCGTCGTTCTTCTAGACAACATCTTCTGCGCAGGTTTCAGTATGAAACGGACTTATTTGAATTCTCCATGAATGATATAAATGTATCTCCTGGCAACCGTTGTCGTGACTGCTTGTTAATTTACATTTCTATTGATTGTTTTTATTGACTTGGAATTCGAACTTTGTTGTCATGTGATTTACTTTTCATTAGCTGGTAGATTTGGCCTGTAGTAATGTGTTTGTTAATTGCTAATTCGCTTGACTACCAGTCATTTAGAAATATGATGGCATTTTTGATGTTTCATCTATTTAAAATTTCTTCATTATCTCAATGAAATTGGTGTGCGTAATTATCTACATACATGGATGAAAAGTAATATATGTATCATATCATTTTACAGCCCTTTCAGAATCCTGTGCTGAATGCTGTAAATTTTCATACTGATTTGACATTAGTGAATGACTTTTTCATTTTTTCGATCCGGTGATGACTGCCTTCGACGCCTTTATCCATGCAGGTTGCCACTGAAGGGATACTGCTTAAACAAGAGAAAGAGAGGCGAATTTTTTAAAGTTTCTTCTGTTGATGGTGACTGGAACTTGTTGTTGTTGTTGTTGTTTGGGTATCTTCATTATCTTCTGAGTGACTGAGTTTCCAGCGTAGACCCTTTACTTACTTTACTTTACTTCGGCTATCTCCTACGCGAGGATGAACCGGCTTCATGAACATCTCGAATCATCGCTGCCCAGGCGCGGCGATCTGATGCAAGGTTTTGCGACAGGGTTATCCAGTTCTTGTTCCACAGACGGAGTCCGTAGACGGTTTGTAGCCCCAGGCACTCCATATCAGCCTTGACTGTACCAAGCCATGTTTTCAGCTGTCCATCCCTGCGACATCGCCAAGATGGAAATGGCGAGGGATCTAGAACTGATTTGACCAGATCGTCATCTGGTCGGCGCAGAACATGGCCAAACTACCGAAGGCGACGTTGTTGGACCAGTACTGGAATTTGGTTGATGCTGTAGAGAGTTCATCAAGTTTCATGGGAATTAGGTACGAGTGATGTCCTCAGCATCGCTCGGTTTTTTGTTTGAGAGTGCAGCTCTAGCCTTTGCACAACCAAGTGTGAACTACAAGGCAGTAGGAGTGGAGTAGGGAGCCCACTATCCATTGGCAGCCGGTGACCGGAGTCCGGTTTATACGCCTTTTTGAATGGGGCCAGACATCCAGGGCATCCAATAAGCCCTTTGTCCATACGTCTGCCAGTGAGCTCCGGTGAGCTTCATACGCCAGTCGTTGGAGGTTTGGAATCAGGGTTTAGCCATCTCCCCTAGACTGTCATCCAATGGACAGTCAACTCGGTGAAGAGCGCCGGGCATCCGCTTTTGCCCTCTCACTTCGGTGAAAAACACCTCCACCACGTGAAGGCAGTGAGTAGGACTTCCTCAGGAGAGGCTATGTAAGACATCCGGTCATATGGGAGCATTTCAAGAGGTGTACGGAGGGGTGGCCAACCCGCAGCGCAAGGCACTCACCTCCTACCATCCTGAGGCTTTGCTCAGAAACAAAGTCCTCTCTTCGGTCCCTGTACTACTAAGTTGCTGGTTTTCACTTGTATGTCTTCGACTTTGTGCAACACGAGACACGAGTTGTCTGCTGAGTCAAGGTCTTATAGGGTCCTTCTGTCAACCCGTCTCCTCACCCTCCACGGTCTGATGCACAATTCAATTCACCATCATGAGGAAGGTAGGTCATCAGTGGTACTAAGCGGCCTTATCGTGCTCACGTTTCAAATTAATTCTGAGAATTAATCTTATTTTCATAGGATCATGGAAATCTTTTGCGTAAATTTCACTTAACACTTTTGTTTGTTCTCTACTTTAGTCTTTTTTGTCGAAGTAAGAGATTACAGTGTCACATTGTGTATGCTTTGGCGGCAATTTCAGTTACTAGAAGTTGACATTTGTTATGTGCTTGTAAGATTATTATTTCTGATGTCGGCTTGCCATATATTCTTTTATTTAGAATCCATCTTCTTGTGGCCCAGGCGATACTGCCGCTAGTCGTCTAATTCGAACTGCTCTTGGCGGTACAGAAATGAATCCGGAACAAATTGCTTTACACTTTTCAATGCCGGCTTCTTTAGCCAGATATTATAGAGATGATATTACTGTCATAGTGGTTTATCTACCTACTGCTTTCTCTGATACTGTATAATTTTAGTTAAATGTTTGAAAAATTGTAGAATTCACAGATCTGTTTTAGCTTAATCTTTTTCTAATGTTGTATATCAGTGCTAGCTACACTTATGCCCATAGCCCTTTAACTCTTCTGTTTTCTATACCTATCCATCATGAGTTCGTGTTCTTTCTTTTGTATTATTCTTTTTTTCAATTTTTTAATATTATTGCAAGTTCGAAATTAAATACGCTTCTTGTTTATGCTGAAAACTACGTATTAACCTCACAAACAGTAATTTTCACTGCTGCATTTATACTTATGGATTCTTGGAATGCCTTGTTAATGAGCTCTGTGTGTGTTTGAGATCGCAGTTACTGTTCACTTAGAGTTGTTTACTTGTCTGTTTGTTTGTTTTTTCTTCTAAATAAAATAAAAGATGTTATCAAATTTGTTCGACCCTCTGAAGTGGATTCTTTCCCCCACCCCACCCGCGAACTGTTCACAAAGTGTCTACCACCATTTCTACATCTCTCTTTGTTTTTTTGTTTTGTTTTTTCATTTCATTTCACTATCAACACTTGTCTCAGTTAATTTTAAACTATTTTGTACACACACGCAAATGTGTTTAGCCTGCAAGTATTGTTTTGTGGAAATAAGGGGGGATAATGACTACAAAAAAGAAATGTGGAAAGGGAACTGGTTTTTGTCATGTACTTACTGTGATCAACTATTCGCCAACATGATTGAGTTAATAATGAAATCCTTCCACGCATTGTCTGTTTTACTGGTAAACTGTGTGAAAATAAAATAGGAAAAAAATAATAATACTGTAACCTTTATTTTTGGTAACCTTTACTCTTATTATTTATTTTACTGATACACTACCTACCTACCATCACCACTACCACCATCACTGTCATTTCACCAGATGTTTACATTTCTTATTCTTTGATTTCCAGTTTATATTCTGTTCTGTTACATGTAAATTGATTGTCATATCGCTATTCAACCATGCTAGATACACGTGAGATTTCCGTTATATATAGTGTAACTGAACTTTATATTGTACATATACTTCCGATACCAATACTGTATTGTTATTAGCGCAGTTTTTGTCTTCATTCATTTTTAGTTTCCTGAACCTGAAAAGATAGATCAGTGTACGATAGCTAACAGATATAGAGATGGGGACCGGTTATTTCCTTTTAAATTGGAGATAATTGTTTATTGTTTTTCTTTACTAGTTTTTTCCTAGAACTCTTCTAGTCACACTACACTAATCTTGTATTTTGCTGTTTTCGTCAAGCATGTTAATGTAATCCAAGGAATCCGGTTATTGACTTCTTCCCTCACTCCGTGGTTCAAATGATATGACTTGTACAAAAAACTCACAGTATTGTTACAAACTCAATACAATTTACCACCCCCCCTGTTGAATGTGTTGATTGTTTATATTTAAATTTCCATAGGGTTAGCTTGGTTCCGTTGTCCTAAGCCATTATGTAAAATGCAATAAATTTATTTATTCAAGAGATTGACTGGCAATAGACTGCTTATGTTATCTTTGTCATTATTTTATGGTTTCATTGATTGTGCAGTGCGATATTTAACTGGAATAATCTCGTTGACTTAGAATATGCAGATGATATAGTCCTTCTAGGTGAAGATGCTGACAAAATGCTGAGTCTTCTGAATACATTGAATGTTTAGCATACGATTCACTGCCGTCAAATCTAAGATGATGCTATAGGACTGGACTACATCGACTCATGCCCAGCTTCAAGATAGAGGGGGAAGTGGTAGCTGAGCGTTTTGACCACTTCACTTGCTTGGGCGGCTACATCAGACCCGACGGGTTGATAGCTGACGAAATCTCAACATGGACACACGAGGCTCGTTTTGCATGTGCGAGTTTACGCCATCTCTGATGTAGACGTGATATCCGGCCATCGACCAAAGGGTGTGTGTACTGCTCAGCGGTTCCCTCTGTCCTCCTTTATGGCTGTGAAACATAACTATCGGAAGAAATGAAAAGGTTAGCTATCTGTCTTTGATCATAGGTGCCTGCGTTCTATCTCCCGTGTGCATTGGTATAATAAGGTGAAAAATATTGAGGTGAGGCATCTGTCGAGTGGTAGATAAGGAGGGGAAATCAATCGACAAGGTTGTGAAGTTACATCGACTGAGATGGTTAGGACATGTGTTACCTATCCCTAGCCATTGTCTTCCTCAACCGATGGGCAATGTTAGCTGACATAGGGTCAGGTTGGAAAAGAGCTAGTGGTGGTCAAACCAAAATTTGGCTTCATCAGTCAATGAAATCTACAACAGTTAGTCTAAGCCACGTAGGAAGGTGTAGACTTCCTGGTTGGCGTCCTCAGGATGGTAAAATCTAATGAAGGCTGGAGACAGTTGGTGATATGGCTGGCTCAATATGGTACTGAATGCCGCAGATGCATTCACTCTTGTGTTTTGTCATATCCAATAAAACTCGGTTGTTCTTCCATATTACTATTCTTTTTAACTATACTTCTCTTTTGAATCTCTCTTCTCTTGATTTGTGTGCTACATGGTGTGTGGCAAGTCGAACTGGCGCACATCTGTGTAAAGTTCTATGTTGAAACCATTCAGTCAGTCAGCCTAAGATTGTCACAGGGAGATGTCTCCCTTTTTATAAACTGGGTCAGCCAATGATTTGTATGAATCCTGTTGAACTATCTCAAATCCACACACGTCAACAGCCTCTACCACTTTTTCTGCAGCCGAACAAATATTATACCAAGCTTCTGCACCGTGGGTGTTGTTATCACACTCAGATACGTATCCATTTACGTCTTCTCTAAACAATCTGTGCTCTCATTAAGAAGCTAGGTATGCACGGTTTTCGTAGCTGCCTGTATTCTATCCCCCTTTTGCCGGTGTGTATGTGCACCCCGCCAGATACTAGCTTGCTAGGCTACTAGCTTACTAGTTTTCTAGCCGGTCCCAAGCCCGGGTAAAGAGGGAGGGTTGGGGCGTGGTGCTAGCAACTCCACCCCTGTAAAACAACCAAATCGCTACAGAAACTTCAACGAATAAATATATTAAAAATTCTAAAAACATAAGCAATAGCCTTACTTTTCGCTGGAATCGGGGAAGTGAAATGACGCAGGCTGGTGAAAGCCTTCGGGAAGCCAGTCAGCCGATGTGCCTTCTTTCGATGAAAGCAAAAGTAAGGATGGGTACCTGGAATGTTCGTACAATGTACGAAACTGGAAAGGCTGCCCAGATAGCCGCTGAAATGAGAAGGTACAGAATAGAAGTGTTGGGAATCTGCGAAAGCAGATGGAACGGAACTGGAAGGTGCCAACTACCTACTGGAGAGACAGTAATCTTTCCGGCCACCCAGAGGACAACCATGAGCACACCGAGGGAGTGGCCATCATGATGTCACCAACAGCAACCAAAGCTCTCATGCAGTGGGAACCAATCTCCTCCAGGATAATGACAGCCAGGTTCAACTCAAAAGGAAGGAAAGTTACAGTCATTCAATGCTATGCGCCTACAAACGTCTCAGAACAAGAGAAGAAGGAGGCGTTCTACAGACAACTACAAGCAATAATGGACAACGTCCCAAATGGCGATATCAAAATCCTGATGGGCGACATGAATGCGAAGCTGGGAGGAGACAACACAGGAAGAGAACTCACCATGGGTCGTGAGGCCCTCGGTGAAATGAACGACAATGGTGAACTCTTCTCAGACTTCTGCGCCTTCAATGATTTGGTGATTGGTGGTAGTGTGTTCAAACACAAGGATATACACAAGACGACATGGATTTCACCAGATGGAAACACCAAGAACCAAATAGACTTCATCTCAATTTCAAGAAAGTGGAGACGGAGCCTACTGGACACAAGGTCAAGGAGAGGAGCAGATGTGGGTTCAGACCACTATCTAGTAGAAGGGACTTTCAAGGTGAAACTAAAAGCCTCGAGGATAGCTGGGATAGGCCACAATGCAAGTTCAACACTCAAACTGAAGGACACAACCACAAAAGACACTTTCACTGCAACTGTCAGAGCAAAGCAGGAAACACTACGCGACATCACTGAAGAATCATGCGTGGAAGAACATTGGAAGTCTCTGAAGGCGATTCTCAACGAAACGTGTTCAACGGTTCTAGGAAGAAAGAAGAGACAAGACAAGGAATGGCTCTCAACGGACACTTGGAAATTAATAGAAGAGAGGAGAATGGTGAAAGAGAAAATGATTCAATGCAAGGACGGACAGGAGAAGGAGACGCTGAGCTCAACTTACACAGCACTGGACAAAGAAGTGAAGAAGAGTGCTAGGAAGGACAAAAGACGATTCTACGACAACCTGGCCACTGAAGCTGAGAAGGCAGCAGGCAAAAGGGACCTGAGGACACTATATCAGATAACCAAATCTCTATCCGGGAAGAGATCAACACAAGCGAAACCTATAAAAGACAGCCAAGGGAACCCAATTACCAAGGAAGAAAAACAGATTAAACAATGGGCGGATCACTTCAAAGGACTCTTGAACCGACCATCACCTGCAACCCGTCCAGAAATACCAACAACAGCGCGCACACAACTGCAAGTTGACACCAATCCTCCAACGAGAGCTGAAGTCTTGAATGCAATCAAGCTTCTGAAAGCTGGAAAAGCAGCACTGAAAGCGGACCCAGAGACTACAGCAGACATGCTGACTCCATTATTGCAAAAGGTCTGGAAGGAGGGAAAGGTGCCTACTGACTGGAGGAAAGGTTACCTCGTGAAACTACCAAAGAAGGGCGACTTACGCCTCACTCTGCAAGAACTGGCGAGGAATCATGCTCCTATCGACGCCAAGTAAAATCCTGAGTCGCATCATCCTGGAGAGATTAAAGGACGCACTGGAGACAGAACTCCGACCAGAACAAGCTGGATTCAGGAAAGGCAAATCATGTACTGACCAAATTGCAACTCTACGCATCATCATCACAGAACAAAGCATGGAATGGCAATCAAACCTCTACCTCAACTTTATAG